ACTTTCCGACAATTATATGATTAATGACCGCGCATATATGCTTTTTGGTATATATTCTAAGATATTTTTAAAATTTGTTTTTCTATAATTTCTGAAAAAAAACTTATAAAGTACGCAAAATACGTTTCATAGGCGTAAAATCTTAATATACTATATAGGTGCCAACAATATTTTTTAAATATATAAAAACATAACAATTGAGCGCTCATTTATTTGCTACGTCTTTGCTGTGGTTCTGAGTAGCGCTAAAAGCAGGAATTTTAGAAACCTTTTTTTTCTTTGTGCTTGGGGCTCGGCGCGCAATTTCCAATGTCAGAGGTACTAAGCAGTTGCAACGTGCGTGCGTACGTGCGCGCGCCTCAACCCCCTCCCCTCCGATTGGTGGTAGCCTTGCATGCAAAAATTGTATTAAGATTTTTTGTTCGATCTACTGAAATCGTCATCACTATCGGTCGATATCTGAACGAAATATCATTTCATGAGTCTAAAACTGTAACTGGGGATATAACTCTATAGTAGAAACGAAAACCTTGATGCGGAAAATTAATACGAGAAGAAACAGCATACGCTGGGAAGAAGCATTGGGGATATTCTGGAAATAATCAGGCTCTTCCCTGTTAAAAAAATGATAAAAAACGATAGGGTTTGCCAAATATTTAATATGTCCTATCTATCGTTCCACTTTTTCTACACCGAAAGAAATGTTATCGTTTCCTATCGTTCTCTATCAATTTTCTACAATTTTTTAAATATTTATCTGATAAAAGTGATTTTAATCGTTGAAATATCAATAGAATTTCTATAATATTATATAATATGTTATTGTTTTATACCGTTTTGATGAAATTTATCATGAATAAATGATTAAAACATTATTATAATAAATTGTTTATTTATGATAATTTTTTACGGTTTATAACTACGATTAATAACGATTATATCGTTTTCTATCGATTTTTTTAAACAGGATTGTATTAGAATTGTCAGGAACATTTTACGAGCATAGTAAGAACATATTGATTAATGAACTTATATTCGACCGTACGTTACAAAAATGAAGAACTCCTAAAATTTTATTATATTTTTACAATATTTACCAGCTAGCAATTCCAGTAAGCAAAAAATATTAGATCATTTAGAAATATTGATTTTATTTTATTAAAACGTTCTTATATAAAAGTTTGCTAAAAAAAAATAATATATTTTCAAATATTTAAAACGGACCATCTGAATAATTTCTGAATGGTTTAAGATATTGGCTTGAAACTTATAGGGTTACAATGGCATGTTGATAAAAAGATTTTTATTTCATTAAAAATCAATTTTTATTATGTATAAATACATGTATATATGTATGCCTCAATAATTTTTAATTTGCAATTTTACCCACACAGAGCATGTTCCAGATCTACCACACCACTTGCTAATATAAGATTCTTGAAATTATTTAAAGACAAAAATCTATTACTAAAATGTTAAAACTACAATAGTTTCCAATCGGAAATGTTTAAAAATGAGCGAAGTGTTCATAATTTGCGCGTTCAGGTCCATTGTATAGGGAAGATGCCCTTAATTGTTATATAAATAGATATTAATTCTTTAAATACTTTTTGAGTGCATCTTTGAATTTATATCTTTGTAATTTTTTTTTCGTTATTTATTGAACTCATTGGTTCATTGTGCATGCTAAAACTAAAATTGTAAACTCAACGTTTTGATATTAGATATTCGAATTTTTTCCTCTAAATGACTTCAAGAATCTGCCTTTAGAAAGAATAATGTGATAAGTCTTAGACACTGTGTGTGTGTAATAATTTTTAATTCAAAAATTCAAAAGGTTCCGAGATAACAAATTGAGAATAAAATTACAAATTGTCTTTTAGAGCCGATGCAATTATTATTACGTAAGAAAGAATATCTATTAAATTAATAAAAGCATAAAGAGATCGCATACGTTTCAATCCTTGGTTTGGAGTTAATAAAATGTTCATGTTCAATTGAACATTTGAAAATTTAATTTAAATTTTCGCTATTAAGGTCAAAATGTATAGAAAAGAAAATGGACAATTTATTAACTCGAGACTTTATTTTTCCCTTTTCTATATTAATATATTTTTTATTTCATTTAAAATTTTTACCTTTTTCTCACATAACTTTTTTTTTTTTAAAACAACAGAGATAACATCTCTAACACACTCCTCTCTCTTCTGTGATTCCTGTTTTAATGGGTTTGTACTTGCAATCTCAAAAAGTTGCACACAAACAGATGCCCCACTGATTAAAATATCATCTACTATAATTGGCCCGCAGTGTTTATAAGCGTCCCTGTGAAATTGTACACTGTGCTCGAAAGTGATACGTTTGAGACCGGGTCCATAGTTTTTAAATACATGTGAAACCTGAGCAATAAAACATACAAAAAAATATATAAATTGATGATAGTATGTTTCCTGTATTTAAATTTGTATGCAAAACATGAATTATTTTATCGATGCATATACTTACTTTCATCCAGTTCTTTTCGTCACATCTTATTGGATGTTCAAATAGAAACCTGTCTATCAGGTTCGTTTTAACGCTCAATATATACGTTGCATGAGTATTCTTTCCAGTGTTGTACCATTCGCTTATCTGTAACATGTACGTGTAGCACGTCACAAATATATATGTTAAAAATATATATGTAATTTAAACTGGCTGTGTATGCTAAAACTAAAATTGTAAAATCTCAACGTTTTGATATTAGAATTTTGTCTTTAAATGACTTCAAGAATCTGTCATTAGAAAAAATAACTAATGTACCAGATCTGAAACATTCTGTGTGCGTGTGCGTGTGCGTGTGCGTGCGTGCGTGCGTGCGCGCGCGCGCGCGCGTGTGTGTGTGTGTGTGTGTGTGTGTGTGTGTGTGTGTGTGTGTGTAATAATTTTTATTCATATAAATTCTGATAATACCACTATAGGTGGTTGATACGTGTCTAGAATATATGGATCGATCCTGTTCATTGTCAAATGTACAATATACTTTTCGTTGCTCCTTAAGAGTTTCGTCAGCATGACTCTCGGGAGCGGAGTAGCAAAACGGATAGCAAAAGCGGTATTTTGATATAAATTTCTGGTTTGGAGTTTTGATTCGTCGTCTAGCATCGAATAGCATGGCGCCGATATGGATCTTGCTGTTTCGGACAATTTATAACCCATTATGTTAAAGCTGCTTTTCGCGAATTCCGCGCAATGAAGGTACTTCAACAAGTTCTTGTTGTAAGGCTCGAATGCGAAATAGATTATAGACCAGGGGATTTCATCACTCCCCGCAAACGACATATTAAACTTTTGCCTCATTTTCTTCCGCCAGACGGAATTCATCAGCATCTTCCAGCGTTTGCACACCAATCCACAGTCCATCAGAGTATTGCAGTCGACGTAGCAGAGGATTTCTATTATCATTTCTTTCGGTAGATATTTGTCACAGAGTGTCAAACCGTTGTCATCCTTTTCATCGAACATCACGCGAGGACTCGAAGGAGTAGCGTTGAATTGTCCCATCATCTGTTAAAACATTTAACATGTTACATCGTGACATATTGAAACGCATGTGTTTAAGGCGGTTACAGACTTGTTGCGCATTGTTCCATACAGTACAGACTTTCAAAAAACGTCCTAAAAAACCTTTTTAGAAAACGTCTAGAAAACGTCTTTCGTCTTAGTTAAAAACATTTCCAGGATGTTCCTCAAAAGTATGCTGTGTGGAGTATCATCGGTGCGTATCAAAATTATACAACAATAAATTGTACAAAAGAGGCGCACCGTACGTGATGTATCATTGAATTAATACATAACAATAATATGATACATAATTATGTAACAAGTCTACATCTGCCTTTACGACGTCATCAGTATTATATCGACCAAGTCAAAGTCGTTGGGGCGTTTTCGAGGAAGCGGTTCGCTGTTATCGTTCGAATTTCCACGAACTTTCGTTACGCGCGCAAAATACACGAAGTACATGCTTACAATTTTTTTCTTTCTTTTGATGGCTTTTTTTATGGCTATGGGCTCTTTTTATTTGCGCCTGGGTCAATATTGGATTAACTTACAATCGTAATAGCAGAATTCATTGGTGCATTATATTAGTCCAATATATCCTCAATGCAAGGTGAGAATTCTTCATATACATATATATGCTTTTTGGTATATTCTAAGATATTTTTAAAATTTGTTTTTCTATAATTTTTGAAAAGAAACTTATAAAGTACGCAAAATACGCTCCGTAGGCGTAAAATCTTAATATAGGTGCCAACAATATTTTTTAAATATATAAAAACATAACAATTGAACGCTCATTTATTTGCTACGTCTTTGCTGTGGTTCTGAATAGCGCTAAAAGCAGGAATTTTAGAAACCTTTTTTTTCTTTGTGCTTGAGGCTCGGGGCGCGCAACTTCCAATGTCAGGGGTTCTAAGCAGTTGCAATGTGCGTGCGTACGTACGCACGCCTCAATCCCCTCGATTGGAGGTAGCCACGCATGCAAAAATTGTATTAAGACTTTTTGTTCGATCTACTGAAATTGTCATCACTATCGATCGATATCTGAACGAAATATCGTTTCATGAGTCTAAAACTGTAACTGAGGGTATAACTCTAGTAGAAACAAAAACCTTAATGCGGGAAATTAATACAAGAAGAAACAGCATACGATGCTGAGAAGAAGCATTGAGGATATTCTGAAAATAATCAGGCTCTTTCCTGATAAAAAAAATTGATAGAAAACGATAGGGTCTGCCAAATATTTTATTATCGTTCCACTTTTTCTACACCGGAAGAAATGTTATCGTTTCCTATCATTCGTTATCAATTGTCTACAATTTTTTAAATATTTATCTGATAAAAGTGATTTTAATCGTTGAAATATCAATAGAATTTCTATAATATATTATTGTTTTATACCGTTTTGATGAAATTTATCATGAATAAATGATTAAAACATTATAATAATAAATTTTTTATTTATGATAATTTTTTTACGATTTATAATTACGATTAAAAACGATTATATCGTTTTCTATCGATTTTTTTTAACAGGGTTGTATTAGAATTGTCAGGGACATTTTACGAGCATAGTGAGAACATATTGATTAATGAACTTCTATTCGATCGTACGTTTTTAATAACATTACAAGAATGTTACTAAAATTTTATTATATTTTTACAATATTTACCAGCTAACAATTCCAGTAAGCAAAAAATATTAGATTATTTAGAAATATTGATTTTCTTTACATTTTATTAGAACGTCTTTATATAAAAGTTTGTTAAAAAAAATAATATCATTTTTAAATATTTAAATATTTTTAAATATTTAAAATGTTTTAAGTGAATTTGGCTACTATAATTAAGGACATTAAAATTAATGACGTGTGTATTAATTGTTCAAATTGGCGGGAGCAATATCTTCTTTTTTTTGGTCATTTTAGATTTCTTATTCTAGAAATGGTAGGAATTGAATCGAAGAATGCGTGCACGTGGTTACGATTATACCGCCGATAAAAAAAAAATAATATACAGCTATAGGCGCGTTGGAAAGTTGAGCCCATGGAACGTACGATTTGAGACAAACTCACCTTGGATGTACGGCCAAGTATTGGATAATAAATTTTTACACAATTTACTTCGATAAGAAAACGAACTTTCGATTCGTCTGAAGCTGCCTGACGCTCAAACTCATCTGTCGGAGCATTTCTTCTCTCCCCTTCGACATGCTTGAAGTGCCGTAGCAATATTGTACGCAATATACGCTCCATAGGGCGTAAAATTTTAATATAGGTGCCAACAATATTTTTTAAATTTATAAAAACATATAACAATTGAGCGCTTATTTATTTTGCTACGTCTTTGCTATGGTTCTGAGTAGCGCTAAAAGCAGGAATTTTAGAAATCTTTTTTTTCTTTGTGCTTGGGGCTCGGGGCGCGCAACTTCCAATGTCAGGGGTACTAAGGCCTGTTCTACAATACGTTGTAAGTCAGGTCGTAAACCGTAAGTCGTAAGAATTGACCAATCACAATTAAATGTAAGAATATTCGATTGTAATTGGTTAATTTTTACGGCTTATGACCCGACATACGACGTATTGTAGAACGGACCTAAGGCCCGTCGTATATTGAATGTTGGATGTGATTACGACTTGCTATTCTACATTAAACATAAAGGCTGCGTTCCGTTGCGAGTATATAACTTCTTTGATTGCGACTACCGATTACTGTGCTTTTTCGTTGAATTTGTGCATTAATTGCATTCGATTCCTGAAACGGACAGAGGATATAAGAATCATGTATGTATATTCAGAAAATGTATAAATATTTATGTAAATACAAAAATTGATTAGTTTCTTGAGAAACCTAAATATTTTGGTTTACACTTTGCAGCATTTCTTTTCGTGCACTGCACTAGCTCATCGCACTTTGTTTAAATGTACAATGGATCTTGAGGAATTGAATAATTATACAAATTTATTATTAATTTGGACCAAAATTATCATAATGAGATTAAGTTTAAAAACGTAAAAAAAAAGTAACAAGAAGATGGTGGGTAAAATCTCATATTGCCAGAAATATGAGACAGCATTTTGGTGCCCATCAAAAGTTGTTTATATATTTCAAAATACATAAAGCCAGTCAGGCAGTCACAAGCAAAGAGGTCACAAGTCGTAAGCACAGTCGTAAAGCAAGGTTTATTTCAAACCCTCCCCTCTGCAGTGTGTTAGATTCAGGGAGCGATGGCCTCCGATGGGGGGTTGGGGAGCAAAGTCCTCCCAGTAGGTAGCATGGGCGCAGGCGGGGAGGGGGGTGTAGGGGAGAGGGGCTCCGCCCCTCCCCCCGCATTACATGGCTAATATTATTGTAGAAATATTTATTGTAGAAATAAAAAATAAATCTTAGATTTAATAAATTTAATTAGATTTAATAGATATTCAATTTAATATACTTCCTACCTTGCGGAGGAGTATGTCTAATCTTTTCGGTATCTATTATTTTTAGTATATTGT